CCCCCCCCCCCCCGCCCCCGCCCCCCCAGACAAGCCGGACGTTCGTGTCGTGATCCACTGCGGGCTGCCCAAGACGGTGGAGGCCTACTATCAGCAGACGGGCCGAGCGGGCAGGGACGGGCTTCCGGCGAAGTGCGTGCTGCTCTTCTCCCGCGCGGACGCCATCAGGCAGAGAAGGCGAGCCTGTTATTGAGCTATGTATCGTAAAATACTGTAACTCGGGCTCATATATACCAGTGGCATGATTAATTTTCTAGTTGGAACAGGATCTTCTTGTTTGTTTGTTTGGTACTGGATAGCGTTTGACCACGGGAACTGTTCCTTTGCACGAAGGATGACAGAAGAGCGGAAAAAACAGACCGCTGGTGCTGGAAACATTTGCCAGGGCTGCGTATTTCAAGCGCTCTGCGGTTTGCCACCAACATCTGCTGAAAACTAGAGATCCAGAAAAACTATCATGCTACCGCGTCTCTCAGAGCATCCGGCAAGAAGAGGAAGATGCTACATTTTTCCCGTGAGGCCTGAAAGCAAACAGGGATTTGACATTGTGATGTGCATGCCACTACTGTTTTCATTTTTTCTTGATTTTTTTTTTCGTTTTTCTTTTCCGGGTGATTGTCGCCCCTTCGTTCTTCCCTCTTATTCTTTCCCCATTCGCACGTTTTTTTGTGCTTGTTTTTCGACTTTAATACGCTGGCTGTTTCTGGTGTGTGTTAGCATTTCTCTCTTCTCTCCCGAACCTGGCTATCGTGATGAGTGTAGGATTAGAGCAATCTCCCTCTGTGTGTCATGTTTGGCAAACCACACGAACATCAGTGGCTGCTGCGAGATGCATGCACATACGCGTCCGGTCGATTCGTATCAACCGCGGCAGTGTCATGGCTATGAGCCCGCCAACGGTGTGTGACCCCTGTTTCCTCGAGGAAAGTAAGATGGGGCACGTGGCGAGAGGTATCTACAAGAGCAGTGGATTTTGTCCGCAGAACTCGCTTGTTTTTGGTCAACTAGATCATGGGTTCGACAGACAGTAGGATTCCTCGGGAGAAGGAGTTGCGATCACGGGACAGGCACGTGTTATTCAGTCAGTTGTGGGGCCTGATACCACGGAGAGAATGCGACGGGCAGTCTGGGATTTATATGTATGGTGGCCTCTATTCACGCAGGAGAAAGGGATGGATGAACCATGCAAGGAGTTCCTCAACGCGGAAGTACGGCAGTATGACACGTGTTGAGCGCGCACGATTGTTGTGGGCAGGCACTTCCGAGTGATTCATATGCATTGCACGTTTTTGTTGAAAGTGGTGGGTGGTCACCTTTCAAAAGGTTTATATTTCCAGACAAGCTAAGAATCCTTTGGTCTAACCGCTGAGTTATGCAAAACATGAGTACCCCCCCCCCCGCGAACGATTGGCCATCGGTGATCGGTCCTGTGGGAACAATGCTCCGTCTTCTCGAGGACGCGTGGTGGTCTAACCGCTAAGGCATGAAAAACATAAGAGTACGCCCCCCCCCTCCCCCGCGCGCGCCTACACGATATGTTCAGCGTCATATGGATGAGCACCAACAGCGCCAAACCGTTCAAGTTGCTACAATTATGATATTTGCACCCATCGGCAAGCAACGCCCCCCCCCCCCCCCCCCCCCCCCCCCCCCCCCCCCCCCCCCCCCCCCCCCCCCCCCCCCCCCNCGGCGTGGTGCCGACGGCGAGTAGCATCGAGCGGAGTAACAAGCTGCTGGCGGAGATGGAGAAGTTCTCCACCTCTCCCGGGTGCCGGCGGCGGGCCATCCTGGCGTACTTCGGCGAGGACATGGGTAAGAGTGGGAGTGAGAGTGGCAGGACATTGGTGAAGAATGAGAGTGAAAGTGAGAGGACACCAGTTGATAGTGAGAGTGAGAGGTGAGAGGGCACGGGTCAGAGTGGGAGTGAGAGTGAGAGGACATGGGCAAGCTTGGAGGTGAGAGTGAGGGAACGTGGGTTAGACTGAGGGTGAGGGTAAGAGGACATGGGTTTGCGTGCGAGTGAGAGTGAGAGGAGGTGGGTAAGAGCGGGAGTGAGAGCGAGAGGATATGGACAAGCGTGGAAGCGAGAGTGAGAGGAAGTGGGTTTGAGCGAGAGTGAGAGTGAGAGTGAGGAGTGAAGTCAGAGTAAGAGATAGAGGGAGGGGCGCGAAAGGACACCTGGAAGGCTGCGGCCGCCGCCAGTTTGCAGATGAGGGCATCGGGTATGAGTGAGAATGAGAGTGAAGTTTCACAGAGGCGTGAGATACTGTGTGAAAGGCTGCGACCGCCGCCGGTTCGCAGATGAAACCATGGAGGACATGCGTAAGAGTCAGAGTAAGCGTGAGAGTGAGAGTCAGAAAGAGGCGTGCAAGGATGAATGAACGACCGCCGCCGCCACCTCCTAGTAGAAGATGAACCCTTGAGGACATGGGTGAGGATGAGAGTGAGAGTGAGGGTGAGAGTGAGAGTGAAAGAGGGAGCGGCCGGCCAAGAGGCTGCGGCCATCGGCGGTGTTGCAGATGAAACCGTTGAGGACATGGTTAAGAGCACAAATGAGAGTGAGTGCGAGTCAGAGTCAGAGGGAAGGGCGAGAGATCGCCCGAAACACCGCGGCCACCGCCGGTTTTGCACACGAAACCTTTGCTCGTTTCCAACCCCTCTGTCTTATGAAGTATCGCCGCGTCTTTCGAAGTTATTTTTTTGAGATTTCGCCGTTTTCGGCCATGCTTTTTCGTTTTTTTTCTTGGTGACCTTGCTCGCTCCTGTAGTGAGCTGATTTCTTCGTCTTGTCCCTCTCTTTTGAGACGCCGTTTGCTGCAGCGTGTTGGGAATCGAGTCGCCGGGCTTGCTCTTCGATAATTGGCTGCTCGTCGCCCAGGCAGTGTTTGAGTTGTCCTTCCTGAAGTATGTGTTTTCTGTTCATGGTGGTCCCTTGGTGTACAACCCGAGATATGCCGTTTCGTTTTGTAACCGCCTGTAGTACGAAATCCTGCCTCCCTCTCGGTACCATTACGGATGGTAACATCATTTTCTGACGCCATCCATTACGAAATCTCATGTCCATGGCTGCGTGTTGTACCGTTCCCGCCATTTATGAGGCCACCTTGGACACGTCGTGATAGATAACAAGGGGGGCTGTGAAGAGCACTCGATTGGGGATTTTGGGCATGCTATGAGTTTGCAACAAGATTTGTAAGAAAACACTGGCTAAGCAAGCCTTTCGGAATGAAGGCGGGGTGCAGTGACGCACTGGCAACACAAGTGAGTGACGGTTTCCAGGACAAGGTAGATGGGTGTCAATGGAGCGGTTGGCCGATAGCACTCTATGGAGCAGTTGGCCGGTAGTACTCTAAATCGGAAGCAGCGGAAGAAGTGATTCCGTGTACCTAGCGAGCAAGCCGGGAATTGAGCATCAGACAGCAGCAGTGCAGTACAGTATGTATGTGCTCGCCGACGACGACGTGTTTCCATATCAATGGCTCTCCTCTGACGCCAAACGACTATCGTTTCTACCGCAGCGACGGAAGTTACCGTTCGCAAGACCGTCAGCATAGAGGCCGACCTTCGCACCGAACCCATCAAACCCGTCGTGTGTGCACCATGTGGCAGGGGATTCGAAGTGCGACGGCTGCGACGTTTGTGACCGTACCGCTGCGGCTGCGGCAGCGTCCGCAAATGGCGCTAACGCGACCAACGAGGTGGGTGGATGCTTCCCTGTGGGAGGGCTGACGTTGTCGGCATTTTTTGTTTCGTTTTGGACGCAGCCAACCGTAGGCCACACAGCAGAAGTACAACAGTGGGGGCCCCGCAGTGCGCCGGTACGTGCCCGCCGAACACACTGATCGGCCGGGTGACCAAAGCGACAGCATTCAGAATCGTCCCAAATGCTTCAATGTTTGGTATGTGCCATATTCCTGGGGGCTGGCTCTGACTATTCCCTGAGATTTTGCCGCATGCACCCTGCAGTGCACATACCAAGTGCTCGTGTTAGCCTATCGGTGTAGTTCTTTGCTGCGGCATGAGCGTCTCTTTCGAGAGGGCGGGGCGGCACGGCTGTGGCTCTTCAAAGCCAATCGGAACTACTGCTGCTCTGCGTATTGATGCGGTACTGTATTCATTCAACGTCCCTGTGGTGTGATACACTCAGCGCGTATGTACAATTGTAACATGACCCAAGCGTTTGTCGCGCGATGGCGACTTGACCAACACCGCCGCTCCCCACAGGACGTCGAGCTGTTCACTGGCCCGGCTAGGCTGGTGCTGCAGGCGGTGCACGACTCCGGAGGGCGATACGGGATAACGGGTGAGGGGATTGCAGCAAGAGGGGGACCAGGAGGGCCTCTCGTTGTCGTGTTTCACACCGGACGGGATACGCTTTGTGATGGGAGTGACTGGCATAGGATATGCTTGCTTTTGTGATGGGCTGGGATGGGATAATATAAGCCATTGCGATGGGAGTGTGGATGGGATGGACTGCTGTGCCGATTACGTCGCTGGGCCAGGCCTGGTTGTCGTCTTCGCCGCCGGAAAAGCTAGTGTGCCGACCACGCCCCGCTGCACGGTGTTTCTGTGATACCTGCGCATTGCCCGCTCTTACCACTGTGTGCGTTTTGGTCTACTAGTGGTGGCGTGTTGGCGGCCGCGCCATTGGCTGCAACTTTTACGCGATAGAAGGCGGTGTGACGGCATTTGTATCCATTTACGTATAGTCGGCGTAGCTTGCAAATAGGGCATCATCCGCGGCTACGCGACAATAAACTGGTTTGACGGCATACCTCCTCGTACGGTTTGGCGTAGCATGTAGGGCACCCGCCGGTGTGAGACGTGTCCGCGTCGCCACCTTCCCATCGTAACAATCGAATCCGTCCAAATGGGTAGAGAGACGGCGTCCGTCCGTCCTCCTCCATGGAAAGAGGCCTCCGTGGAAGCACCTTTGTGAAAGGCAGGACTAAATTAGCTAGGACCGTCTGTGTGCTCCCTCGGCACCGTATTTTTTTCACGTCCTGCAGTTTGTTGGGTTGCTGCTTGTTTCGTTGAGGTGAGCCGTCTCAAGAAAAAATTTGATCAAGCCGCTGCTGTTTGTTGGGTTGCTACTGGTTTGGTGGCGCTGTGCTGTCTGGAAAAAGCTTTCCGTCAAGTCCTGCTGTTTGTTGGGTTGCTACTCGTTTGGTGAAGGTGCGAGAGCATACCATCTAACCCGCAGGCGCATGATGCGTGTATACACACATATACGACCCGCTTTGTTTTTTATTCAGTGCCGATCGGTCTGCTGATGGGGACCAAGAGGGGAACGGACCGGGTGTACAACGCCACAATGAAGCCGTCGTTCGGCAGGGGCAAAGAGAGAGGCAAGACGGAGACGTTCTGGAAGGCCTTGTTCCACCAACTCGTCGAGAGGCAGGGGTGAGTAGGGCGATCACGCGCCTCAGGTGTGTGAACGAATGGCGCCATGCTTATCTTGGTCAGATTTAGTCGGGCAAGTGCCGTCGTCGTGTCGTCAATTTATTGGGCGGCGCCGTCAAACGTGATCGTCGAAGCGATGACAGAGTCCATGGCATCGAACCACTGGTTTTGTCCCCCTGAACCCGTGGTTCTCTTTGGAAGCAGAAAGCAGTCGGATGACCCTTCGATTTTTATTTAATTGCAAGTGTTTCAAGCCCCGCCGCATCGCATCAAACCGTTGTGATCTTCACGTGGTGATGGTCGTGCCCCCCACCCTTCCCGCATGTCGATTTCGGTGTTATTAATTCTGGTTGTTGCTGCTCGTGAGGTGTTCACGCGGCTGAAGTTGGCGCGGTTCTAGGTAGTTGGTGTCCCGGTGCCGTTGCTTCCCCGTCCCTCCCGTATGCAGACTTTGTCACTGTTCTTCAAATACCAGGTACTGCTGTTTGTGTACCATATTGCTCTCGCGGCTGAAGTTGGTACGGTTGTTGGTAAATTCTGGTGCCGGCGGTGTCGCAGGTTCCTTGAAGCGGTGTCGTTCTCGAGCGAAAACGGCGGGCGGAGCGGGACGACCTACCGCTTGACCCGCAAGGGGAGGAGCTTCCTCCAGGTCACCAAGGTCAGTTCGTTCTTCCATCGCAGTTTTCGACATGCGTTTTCATGAGTGCCACCCTGCCCCCCCCACCATCATTATCGATGGTCTAACGGCGAAGGCATGCAAGACATGACCACGCCCTCTCCCCTCCCGCCCCCGCTCTATTGATCTATATAGGAGAAGCTCCCCATGTCTTTCACGCCTTCCGATGAACTGGCGACGGAGGGTAGGCGTTTTAGGACGGCCGCCGCGCGTCCCGCGGACGGCTACCCGCAAACCAACGCCGCACGCCACGGGCTCTCCGAGGAAGAGCAGAAAGTGCATGCGCTCCTGGTACGTACGTGCGATTTCTTTTTTAGAAAACATTTGCATACAAAAAGACTACATTCCTGTTCGACACGTACCCTCAGTCGAAGGGGATGTGCTGAAGTCTTAGCAGTGAGTGGGGATGTTGTGGGACACCCACGGACTGCTTAGAGTAAAAGCACGCTTCTTTTTGACCAACTAGTGCTACCCCCCTGACCCAGACAATTTGGTGCTCGGGCAGCGCTTGTGTACAGATGACACCCCCGCACTGAGGACCTTGGCAGCTATTAATAAGATCTTGATGCTCAACATTTGATCAAAGTAAGAACTTGAGCACCATATGTGAGCACGATCAAGAAATCCCTACCCTCAAACCTATGCAAAAAGGGCACTAAGAACCCTAGCGTCAACCAATACTAGAGGTCCTAAAGTGTGGGCGCTGTCTGTATATGTGTCATCGCAGAACTCCCTCACCATATTAGCCTACCCTGACGATTTTGGTGCTCAGGCGCTCGTACAGTATGATTACACGATCGCAGCGCTTTCCCTTAGGCCCATGTGCTTATTTTCTTCCCGTACACATCCCGCGGCCGTTGTTTGTCCACCCTCGTTTTTTTTTTTCGTTTTCGCATGGTCATGGTGTGCACCCATCCCTCCCCCCCCCCCCCCCCCCCCCCCCCCCCCCCCCCCCCCCCCCNACACGCACACACCCGGATGTCGATCGTGGTGTACCATGAAACAGTTGAACCTCAGGAAAAAGATTGCGGATCGCACGGGCGAGATGCCGTACAACGTCATGGGGGGCGCCGTGGTTAGGGAGCTGTCGAAGAGGAGGCCGGTCGATCTCGCCACGCTCACGTCGGTGGGCGGCATGGGGGAGACGAAGATTAACAAGTACGGGGCTGAGATCATCGAGGTGAGGAGGGCGGGGGGGGGGGGGGGGGGGGGGG